AAATCACTTAACATGTAGAAATCTGCTGGGTTATAAGGCTCTACTACTCTGCTACCTTTCATAAAGCGGGTCCATCCTCTTTCGTTTAGAAAGGGTTTGGGTGTATAATTTCAAAAATGCCAAATTTTAGGTTGTGTCACTTTTGAAGATCGTATGCGATATGTAGAAAATACCTAGTTCTCAAAAGTTGGCAAATTTTATTTTGCATTGAAAGCATTACTAAATGATTCATAAAGCGTTGGAATCGAAACTGACTGCGAAATTTAGCAAAGAAAAAAGTACCTGGAGATGTATTGTTTTTTTATGTATTTGTAATGACAAAAAATATTACTGCAAAATATGTATGCATATACCTCATATTGTACATACATATGTACGTATGCATACATACATATATATAAATGCATGCATGTGTAAATTGCGCCGCAAGTGCAACTTTGTTAACGTGTTTTTGTGAAATTCATTTACTTCTAATGTACCTAACAAAGCGCACACAAAATTACAATCATTAATTATAAATTATACTAAAATATAAACATGTTTTTAGCTTACCTTTGCCTCCTTTTTTGTTGCGTCGCGGCATCCTCTTGTCTTTATTAGACGTCTTACGTTTAGATTTAGGCGATGTGGCGAAAATTTTGAATGAGCACAAAGATGCAGTTGTAGAAATGATAGAAATCGCGCTGCCGGTTTTTATACCCGTCGTATTTGCGCAGATGTGCAGCTGCTTGTCCTTAAACGTTGATACGAATGCGGATGTGAATTGAAATGCCGGCTTTGATGACAAGGATACAGTTGACAATTTATCGACTGGTTTACCTGTGTGTGCTGCCTGTAGTTGCAGGTTATGATACTTTTGAATACCCTTTTTAGTGGTATTGGCGTGCACGTTTATTGACACTTCTTCGCTTGTTTCCACGACGGAGGACAAGCACAAAGCCTGTACAATGATGAACTACTACTGGCTACAAAAGATTAGCGTTGACTCTTATGCGTATGTTGACAGCCTGACAGGAGGTTGTTTGCGCTCTGCTTTTTAGATGCTTCCCTCAATTTTGCTTAAGTAATTTTGGAAATATGCGGATAAATGCTACTTTTCAGAAGTTACACTCTTTATTTAGGTTATTTTTCACCAACGCTCAGTTTTTTTTGACTTTTATTGATTTTTATAAATTACTAAGGTTTTTTGTTTTGCTTTGCTTGTTTATTTAAATTTTATTATTTGGATGTCCAAAAGAGTTTTTTAGATTTTTAATTTATTTTTCAAGGATGATAGGTTTTGGGGACTTTAATTCCAATTGGTTTTGGAGAGGGTACAATTTACTAAAGTCGTACTTAATCAAGACGCAGCTATGCAAAAGTTTTGATTCTTCCAATTTTTAAATATAGTAGAAACTTTATTATACTCGTTTATTTGTAGTTGTTGATTTTTTACTTTCGCAAATTTCACTGCACCACACAAACTCACGTTGTTCAATGTTCCCAAGTTGACCGCGTGTAAATTATTTATACGTTGGGATTCTTGCTCAGCTTCGGTAAAATTCAATGAGTAATACTTCTTATGTTGTTGTAGTTGGGCCTTTGTCGTTGCAACAAATTTCATGTTTAATCGCAAATTTCAAGTTGCTGATAAATTTTCTGTCTCTACTTTTGTCTACCAGATAACCGACCCGACTTTTTTCACTGCACTGTGAAATAGAAATGGCAGCACGAAACTCTTCGTATCGATCAACTGAACCACCTCCGCGTGGAAGAGGGGCGTTAACACAAAAAAAAAAATATTCAATAGCAGGTATAAATCAGTGTTGATTGTTTCAAAAACACTTTGCACTTTTTAATGTTTGAAATATATTTACCTGGCTATACAAGTTTAGCTATTTGCATAAGGATTTTGCCGCAAAGGTTTTTTCGTCACCGAAAAGTCTATGGGCAATTCGTGGTCGAACTTCACAAGGTCGTGCGTGGCTACCGCGCGTCTCCTCGGTTTTTCACCTCAGCAAACGTTGCGAAATGAGAAAATTTTAGATTTTCGCGGAGTTTGCACTATTGCTAACAATTTTGCAATTGTTAATTTTTATTAAATATATTTTTCTCACCAATTTTCACTGAATTGCGAAACGATTTTTCACACGTTGTCAACTCATTCAATTCATGAATACGAATGTGATGTAAAAGGAAATTAAGCAGAATTTCACAAATCGGATTGATGGCCACGAAAACGGGGGATTTCGGTATTATTAAGGAGTTATTTAAAGAGCTCAATGAATTACGCAGAGCATTCAAAATATGGACATTATTATTTTTTATCATTTACTGTATTATTTTTTAGTAGTTGGAGCATTTTTTTAAAGAATATTGCATTTATTTAGTGAAATAAACTAATAGCAGACTCAACAATCATGCTTGACAGCATGTTTGAGATGCTTGTAGTGTTAATTGTAAATAATGATGCCGTTTTGATAGAATTCTACCAAATTCGGTATACAATTTTTCGAAATTTAAATTTGGTGGATTGGTAGATTCTTATTTCATTTGATAGATTTTGCCAGACGATTTTTTGATGGCATTCATTTCAAGGAAACGACAAGTATTAGTCGAATAAGGCCATATATTTTACATAAATGACTACTTAAGCAAAAAGGATTAACTTTTCAAATATTAAGTAGGATTCAAGCACTAGCTATACTTACATTGAGAGAGCAGGGCATAGAGAACCAGCGCATGTAAAGCAGTGGTGTAATTATATTCGGTATAGAGCGCATAATCTCCCAGAATTAGCTGTTCAGTGTAATCAGTTAGGCTTTCTGCACATTGGTCGTCCAATCATCGTATCATATATTTTACATAAATGACTACTTAAGCAAAAAGGATTAACTTTTCAAATATTAAGTAGGATTCAAGCACTAGCTATACTTACATTGAGAGAGCAGGGCATAGAGAAGCAGCGCATGTGAAGCAGTGGTGTAATTATATTCGGTATAGAGCGCATAATCTCCCAGAATTAGCTGTTCAGTGTAATCAGTTAGGCTTTCTGCACATTGGTCGTCCAATCATCGTTGCAATCATGATGCAACGATTACATGACGACTACACTTTCGCACAGTCGGTCGTGATATTTCAATTCATTTGGCGTCTAAAAATTCCCTTGGAGCAGGTATTTTCTGTTTTTCTGGTTGATATTTTTTCGAAATATTTACAAAAACCTGCCATTTTCAAATTATGGACTGTGCTGCACCAATTCTAGACATTTTTCAGTAATATCTCTACTTTTCTTTTCCTGAAATGTGTTTTGTGCATGCACACAGAGACCTTTTACAATTTTGTCATATTTTATAGTTAAAACGCTCACATTTATTGAATTTTAATGCAATTATCCACTTTTTGATAATTTCCACAGATTTTTTGCAAGAAATACTAATTTGTATACAATTTTAATGCAAATATTAACTTGTTCACTAATTTTTCCCCATAAAATGTAAACAAACAATGCGTGCACAACGATTGGCAAACGCCAGTGCCGTACTTATCCGTTTCTGCATCTTCTTCCATTTGCCGATAACGAAAAGTGTGCCAATCTCCTTTGAAATGCATGTACTCGGCTTAAAATTTCAGGGCGATACGATAACGCAACTATGATTGGACGACAAGTGTGCAAATAGCCTTAGTCTGTTCCTGTACTCTAGGATTTAGTTAGGAAAACTATCTGACGATTGCATGTTCATAGCCTAAATGAAGTCGACATTAAAGTTAGTTGCTGATTTTTGTCATAATTTTCAGTGAAATGGCGGCAACTAACTTTCGACTTTGTTTCGAATATAAATATACGCGAATGTATGTACAAGAACAACTTCTCAGTAATTCCTGTAAATGTGATTGGTACTGGAACAGACTAAAGGTCTGATTATGCATACTTCGGGCAACTTCGCACAACAATTTATACCAGTGCAATAGAAATGTAACTTAAGAAAATGTGAAGCAAAATCTAAACTCAACAGATCGCTAAGTTTTTAAAAGTTCTGCTAATTTCCGGGTAATGGAATACATACAAAATACACACAAGGTACATACGCAATTACAGTTTGAAGTTTATGCGAAGTTGTGCGAAGTATGCATAATCAGACCATAATGAGAACAATGATAGTGGCATCTCTCTTTGAAAATGTCACATAGCGAAAAATCAAAATTCTCCCGATTTCGCTGGACTGCCCTGTTATGCGCCGCGTCGGATAATCGCTGGATGTATCCGTTGCGAAATAGAAGGAACTCTTTTATTTTTGGTAGATTGGTATTTTGGTAGATTTTGTGTGGGCCTTTCGGTAGAAAACAAATTTTTGGTACGGCAACACTAGTTTTAAAGCAACCCCATGAACCAAAAATACAAGATCACCTAATCAAAGAAGCAAGAAAAAAGTATATTTCTGAGTGTTTTTGACATCTGCCTAAGAATGAAAACAAACAAAGAAAACGAAAAAGGCGCGGTGATTGAGTGCGATTAAATCGGTATTTATTATAAAATATACAAAGTGAAACTTGATGACAATTAGCAAAAAAAGTTCATAAAATATGGTTTTCATGATTGAAAGTGTTTTACAATCGCATATCATTACCACGGGTCGATTTTTCAATGCCACCGTTCTGGCCACAAACGTGCACCCACTTTTCACGCAAATTTACGCCTTTTGGCAAACCAAACATACGCACAAACTTGTTCCGACCACACAGCACTTTATTTTATATCATAAATATGTAATAAACCAAAATTTATAATTAAAATCGCTGCAGAAAACACATTCAATCGCTAAAAAATCACTACGAAGAGGTAGAAGACGATGTAAACAAACCCGAAAAACGTCAAAAACGCTACGAAAACTTTTTTCTGAAAATCGATTACAAATACAACGATGGCTGATTAGGTGATCTGTAGTCGTTGGTTCATGAAGCAACCCTGTGGTTGGAAGAAAGAGTGAGAGAAGAAGTAAACAAAGACAATTTCGAAATGTCAAACAAAAACCATTATCAAAATGTGTGAATAGGTCCAGTTGGAAAATAAATTACTTGGGCGTTTAAATGAAAACTAGTAATAGCAGAAATCTAAAATTTATATTGAAACAAACTCTCAACTCAATAACACGTGAAAGCCAAGTATGCGATACAAAGTTTCTATTAGTTAAAGTTTAATAACATTTAAAAGTATCACGAAAGGAAAATTTACGAAAAAATAGTTTACGAAATTCTACGTTAAAATACGCAGCAAGAATACGAGCGAACCAAAAAAGTACGTAAAATATTTAACTATAGTCGCGTTGTGCATAAACAGTTTTATATTTAGCAGGTCTTTTTCAGAGTGCCAAAGGAGCTGTCCCAAGGTTCATCATTTAGGAGATCGGCAAAGGTAATACGCTATATGAACATTCATACATATGTATATAAAAATATACAAATATATATCTATGTACATATGTACGTACGGTACAAGACTATTTGCGTTCGAAAACGCTCTGTAGGATCAAAGGCCGTTTGCTAAGTTTTATAAGCGATAGTAGCGGAAAAGCAAAGGTCATTCAGACATTAAGATTATAAACTCAAGAAGGGATCGCAAAATCATGGGCGAATTGTTTAAATAATGTGACGCAGAGAGTTATATACCTATCTAAAATACATACATATGTATATGGAAAGAAGTGTAGCAAAAAACAAAGAGCCATATAGAAGCTTCAAACGCAAATATTTATATTGCTGCAGCAGATATTAGAAGGCAGTATATTTGTGATAGCGATTCGCTCCGCTTACTTTTGCACTCTCTTAATCCATTCGCTTTCCAGCTGGTTTTCAACTATTCACTTGCATAAAGTTTGTTTAAGGTTGTTTAGATAGTACGTGGTCTATTTATTGTATTGAAAAACTTGTTGGGCGACTACTTTTCGTTGCAGTATGTTTCACAACACCTCTACCTAACTTTAGTTGTTATTAGCGTATGTGTATATGCATTCGTAGCTTGCCGGGTAGGATTTTAATCGCTTAAAATGCGTCAGTAGGAGATGTATAATTTCCGCGTTATGACTATGCAGTCACTCAAAACCAGTACGAGTATGCTAGGCTTAGCTAACAATGTCACTAATTCTTTAAATAGCTCTTAATAGATAGCACTTTGAAGCGATTAAAATTTAATTCTTTATATTAGGAAAAACGACTTTGTTGCAAATGAGATTAAATAAAATTTTTTAATTTTTTAGCACATTTACTCGCTTTAACTGCCCCTCTAATATTCGCTTTTCAAGATTTTACATGCTTACATATCGCTTCTTCATTTTATTAATACTGATAAATGACTTAATTTTACACTCAGTGCGTTCTTTCACTAAATTTAGCGCAATCGCATATAAACTAAATAGGTTTCCTATTATAGCAGAAGTATTAAATTGAAGCAACATAGTTCTGCAGAAATTGTTCACAAAATTAATATTACGAACAAATTTGTATGCCAGCTGAACTACCTTGCAGTTTGATGTATTAATTCAACTTTATATACTATACATACATATTTTAAGTTTTAGGCCCTAAACGCCGTTATAATAAATAAACATTTTTGCAACGATTTCATTCTTATCAAATGTGTTCAATACGACTTGCTCTCATACACAATGATAAGTAGAAATCAACATCATTTATCAGTTTGATTGCGGCAAACAAAGGGAATTAATGATTGGAATTTTCAGCACATCAACAGCAACTTACTGCGACTTACAACACAATAAATCTACTGCCACTAAAATACGATGGCTTCGATTGAGGAGCGTTTTCAAGCCGCCGTCAATGTGATCAAAGGGTTACCGAAAAATGGCCCATATCAGCCTAGCACCGCCATGATGCTCAAATTTTACGGATACTACAAGCAAGCAACAGAAGGCCCTTGCCATCAAAAACGTCCAGGATTTTGGGATGTTGTTGGTAAAGCGAAGTGGGATGCCTGGAATGATAATCGTCACTTAACGAAACATCAAGCTATGGAACGTTATGTAGAAAATTTACGCGAAATTATTGAAACAATGTCGTTTACCGAAAATGTACAGAACTTTGTGGGTAGCATTAGTGGCTTGGATAATATAAACTTAGATGAATTGGATATGGTGGCACCTGGCATGCGTGAGCTTGCAGAGTCGCACCCAAATTCGCCATTCAATTCACGCACCAACAGTCCACAACATGGAGCAAGTGTGAATGGCAGCAGCGGTGAAGAGGATGATGTAAGTGAAATTATTCATTAATTGATTAAGCAATTAATTTAACCATCATCTATATCCTCAAATATTTAGCTCTCCAATACTGTTCAATTCAACGGACATGTTTCAAAGAAACCAAATCATATAGATCACAACAGTGGTTTGATGAATGGCACAACTGAACACGAAGAAATCATCGCAACACAATCGAAGCCAACAACTTCAATGATGCCTGAAGTATCCTTAACCCTTTCCACTTATGCCACGTCCAGTGGCACGGTGGATCAATCTGATGATGAATATGGTGATCCAGTAGACTTGAATGGCGACCTCACTGAAGCCATGGTTCATAATTCTGAACTTTTGAAACAAGTTCAGGCAACTGTATTGCGTATGAACGCCGATTTGGTGGCAGTGAATCAACGCATGAATAGCCTGGAGAAGGTTGTAAACGACGTCCGTTCTGCTGTGGTCCAGAACGCTAAGCCTAGAGGACGCAAATACCCCAAATGGTGGCCGTTTGAGGATATTTCGCCTATTTGGTTCACACTACTTGTGCTATGGCCCTTCGTAGTGGGAAAATTATCTCGTGCCCTAACAGCACCGCGTCGGAAGTGAAGGCGATGCAATGGTGGTGTTGTGGATAAAACTTAGCAGGTAAAATAAGGGCGCAAACGAAAACTGCCGACAATTTTTTTATTTGAAGTCTCTTTCAGTGTATTCCGGCTATTCAAATACGTTACACTCATATATTAAGTTGGCTATACTGGGTACTGATTAATGTTTCTGGACATGTAGAGGATGAATGCCATGGGCGATTGCTTCAGCTTTACTTTATATTTTGCGCAAAATAATCTGCGAAACAAATGTTTTTAATCGAATTTAAGAAGCTGCGTAAAAGAAATCCTTAAGATACATAAATGTAGGAGTTAAAATGGGATTAGGTAATGTGAAGCATAATAGTTAAAGTTTTGTATACGTATTTTTTGGTTTTTTATCCTTTTTATATATGTATAATTGTAAATATGTATGTATGTACCTTTATGATGCATTCCTCCCACGCAATATTTTGTGCAATTTTCGTCCGAAGTTATTGAGAAAAAACGGTTGTAAGGTTATTTTTTTTAGCAGAAAAAAAAACATTTCTGATCGCTGATGAATCAACAATCTTTTGAGTTCCACATTTTATGTCTCTATTCTTTGATATACAATTTATTCGTTATAACTTCAATTTACAACTTATATAAAAAATAAAACCAAAGGGCGCATTTTGTCAAAGTATTAACTCCAGAATAATAATTATGAAAATTATGTAATAGTATACGTTTGTATGATTGGACGTGCATACATATGTATATACAAAATATTTCTTTAATCAAAAATAAAAGATTTTATAAAAAAACAAAAACCTTTAAAATAATTAATTTATCGTGTTTCATTTTTATATTACAACATAATAAATTTATTTATGTACGTGTATTTATAAAAAAAATCGAAAAATTAAGGCTGGTAAGAACGTCTGTTTGGATACATATATTGCAAATGGGATTTTTTTTGCGTAAAACAAAATTTTTTTTGAGCGCTATATGTGCAAAAAAAATATTTCTTTGGTCAAAAATAAAAGATTTTATTGAAAACAAAAAAAAACCTTTAAAATAATTTATTTATCACAGTATTACGTATATTTAAAAAAATATAAAAAAATTAAGACTGGTAGGATTATCTGTTTGGATTTATTGCAACCCTGCCTGTGAACCACATCTGTGAACGGAACTAAATTTATCGCAAAATTTCGCCGCAAGACGTCACTGGTAAGCAAAATTACGCCGATGGTTATCTCGCTCTAACAAATTCGACATTTCCTTGCGAAAGTGAAAGAAAAAGTTTAAACGGAAAATAAAACGATCGACGCTAGTTTTGCGCCTTGCGGAATTCAATCAATTTTTGAACAAGAGGAAGAAAGGTTTGTGTGAGATTCATCGTGCGAAATTGGTGACAATTTAAAAAAAAAATTAAAATTAACCAGGAGTTTGAAAATTGCAACTATCATCAAATCTCGGTGGACCTAACCTTCAAATAAATCAAGATTTTTCAACCCAAATCTCCCAATATTGCTTAAAACATTTCCAAATAGGATCTACAGGTTGCCGAACAGCTGCACCAGGTGCAGAACACGCCAAAGAACATTGCCAAATTCCAACATCTAGAAAAGTCGGAAGCCCACAGCCATGAATAAGGACATTTACTATTCTGACAAATACTACGATGAGAAATTCGAATACAGGTAAGTTTAGGTGCACTTTTATTCGAGTATTGGTTTAAGCTAATTTCCTCCTGCATATTTAGACATGTTGTGCTGCCAAAGGAGCTTTCTAAATTGGTGCCAAAAACACATTTGATGACTGAGGCGGAGTGGAGATCGATTGGAGTCCAACAGTCGCGCGGCTGGATTCACTACATGATACATAAACCTGAACCGCACATTTTACTCTTCCGTCGTCCGATACAGCAGTAGGCATGCATCCGAATTATCAATTCAGCAGGACTAGAAACCACCACCACTTTTTGCTAGTTGTTAAGATCTTAGGTGCTCGCAACAAAGCTAAAGTTTTGCTAGAACAAACGTTGCTCATCAAAAA